GCACAAAAAAATAACTCAATTTTTCAAAAAGTACAGACGGCCGTATACTCTTGTTTATGCGGCTAGCCATAAAGCACCGAGCATTTTTATGTAAAAGTGAGTTTTCAGTTTGAGCTTTGAATGATTCTCTATGTGCCGCAACGCTATTATAGGCTAGTCGTCATTTGAAGCTACGCTCCGGAGGTTTTTAGTGAGAGAAAAAGATGGCTATCTTTTTCCTGGAAATATACGCCACGTTCCATTTGAAATACCTAATCAACTTTTTTCGGTAGCGCTTTTCTGAGGCACATACAGAGATTGGCATGAAACACGTCAACTCTTGCACGAACCTTTTTCCGAAACGGTTATACAAGAAACTAAGAGTATGGACATTTTATAGCAGGACACCCTGTACAACATCTATGTTGCCATGGGTAACATCAAAGTACGAGTGTTGTTATATCGTTTGGAGCAGCGTTTATCTTGAAAACAGCTTCATGTATGCAGGGTACTTCAAAGTAACATACATGATTCTTCGGGGAAAAACTTCTTAGAAACGTATGTTCTTAACCACTAAGATACAGGGTAGTGCAGTTTGTTATGGATTTGAGCTTAGCAGGTTGGAGAAAGAGTATGATACGCCACTGCTTGATTTTGGAACTAGATTTATTTTTATAGTTCTCATACATTTCTGAGAATATTAGACCCCTTGATTTTCTTTCTACAGACCTGCTGCTCTGCCGTAAAGAAATCAGAAATATCTCTGAATTTGTCCAGCAGATTCTAAAAGTTAAAACAGTGGTAGTGTACCGGGTTTGTTAGAGAGTATGGAACAAGACATTTCCATATAATAATAATAATAATAATAATAATAGCCTTTATTTAACCTGGCGGGTGTCAGCTAAAAGCTGTTTTTCATACCAACCAGGGCCAAACAAAATTATAATACAAAATCTGGGATACATAAACATTGTTGAGTAACAATAATGAAAAATCTATTATGCCAAAAATAGGCATTTTTTTAATTTAAAGAAAAAATCCTATATATTCACAGTTAACAGTTACACCATTACATAAGTTAAAAACTAAATAATATAAGGTATTATGACATATTTTCAAAAACAATTTTTTTTACTTTTGACCTAAAAAGTGGAACAGATAAAACTTTAAAGCTGACAGGGAGCATATTATAGCGATTGGGTGCAACAAAAGAGAAACTCTTAGTAAATAGGGTGGTTCTATGATGGGGCGTGTTAACGGTGTAACCAACGAAACGGGGGTTGGCTGCATGATGCTGACTTCTCAAAGATAACTTATTATTTAAGTATATAGGGTATTTGGTCAATAAAATGCTATGAACCAAACATAAAATGTGAACCAACCAACTCTGCCTCATCGTCAACCAATTCACTTCTTGAATAAATGGAGACACTCGCTCCCTTCTTCGGATTCCAACAGAATATCTAATACAGCTGTTCTGCACTTTCTGAAGTCTGTAAGCTTCGGCTTCAGTCAAACAAGGACCAAACGCGGAACTTCCATATTCTAACTTACTTAAAATGAGTGAATCGCAAAGCTTAATTTTAGTATCTTGAGACAACACGTGCTTAAAGCTGTAGATGCTTTTTAGTTTAGCAAAAGAGCTCTGCACAACCTTAGAAATATGATCATGAAAAGTTAAGTGCTCATCAAAGATTATTCCTAAGTTTAATATCGATATTGTGTGTGTGAGCTCTTCACTATTGAGGCATAGCTTTATAGCATCTCCACTGAACTCGTTCTTCTTAGAGCGGAAGGTAATTATGGCCGATTTGCTACAGTTTATGTGTAACCCGTGGTATCTAAACCAATCACAAACGCCGCTTAAATCTACTGCTAGTTTTTCATTAGCATCAACACATGAGGAGGGATCATAGGATAGATAAAGCTGGGTATCATCAGCATAAGAATGTAAAGCGCAATGTTTGACCGACCGATCCAAGTCCGACACGTATAAAGTAAGTAAGATTGGTCCTAAAATGGAACCTTGCGGCACCCCCTTTACAATGACCCGATTGTCAGAATAGTCACTGCCTATTTTAACTTGTTGAAGTCGATCTGATAGGTAATTGTCAAACCATGTAATCGAATTCTCAAAAAAACCAAGAAAGTGCAGCTTAGCCAATAACATTTTGTGGTTTAAACAGTCAAATGCCTTTCTTAAATCCAGCAAAACAGTTGTAGTTACGCAGGAATTATCTATAGCTCTCAAGTAGTCATCACAAATGTCAACTAATGCAGTCACAGTACTATGATTTTTTCTAAATCCCGACTGTGTATTTGGAATTAAGCTGTATTTATTGATGTGTGTTAGAATTTGCTCGTAAACGATCTTTTCTAGAATTTTTGACAAGAGTGGAAGTATGCTTATAGGCCTGAAATCGCAAGGCAATTGGGGATTATCGATTTTACCAACGGGAATAACAGTTGCGGCTTTCCATATGATTGGTACGATACCATGTTCCAAAGAAAAGTTTATAATATGAGTAAGAGCCTTGAGGCAAAAAGGAAGAATATAGGAAAATGTATCTATATTTAATCCATCTAGTCCGGTAGCACGCGAGTTTATTTTTTGAAAGGTCTTCAAGACTTTTTCCTCGGTAACAAACTTAAACTGAAATAGGTCATTGATATTTGGTAGCATGTTGGTGTTGTAGTACTCTAAGAGTGTTTCATTTATTGAGTTATCGGGAACTGAATCCACAAAACAGTTATTTAATATGTTGGGTTCCAAAGCACACTGATTATTTTTACCCTTAGAACCATGAATCCCTAGCTCCTTTATAGCTTTCCACCAGCTCCGAGAACTGTTGCTTTTTCTTAGCTGGTATTCAATATATGCTTTTTTTTCGCGCCTAATAGATGCTGTGACTAGATTCCTTAATTGCTTATAGTAGTTCCATTTGGCAGTTTTTATCTCGTCAGAAAAATTGTTCTTAACAGTTTTCTTATACTTAGAATAGGCGTTATTGCGTAACCGCATCATGAATTTAATATTGTGTGTAATCCAGGGACAACGTGCTTTTGATATCTTCCTGGTTTTAATTGGTGCGCATATATTTAGCAGATCATCAATAAGGCTGTAAAAATGTTGCAGTTTTGATTCAATGTCATCATAGTCGATAACGCCTAGCCAGTGCATATTAGACGCTACCTCATTCAAAAGAGACTCATCAATATTCCTTAAATGTGTGTAATATGTGAGAACAATGCAAATCTAAATTTAGAAATTTATCTAAACGCGTCAAATCTTTAACATCACATAGTTCAAGCTCAATTGAACCGATTTCCTTAAAACTTTACAAGAAAGTAGCCTAGAAGTAACGTAAAGCTGACAGCTCAAAAATCCCGAGTCAGACTTGTTTTCTACTCACTCTTTTGTTTTTTATCAAAATCAACATCTTTAGGAGTAGTTTTTCAGATAGCAACATTTATTTATTTCAAGGGTTATCAACTTGGTTTTATCAAAATTTTAACAAATAATGCTTAATATTGAAGCAAGGATGCTCTGTAAACTCAAAATGACAGGATCGGGTTCAGTTTTTTAATAAAAATAATCGTCAATTTACTATTGTTTCGCAGAATAAATGCAATAGACTATGTACGCAAAAGGAAAAATCAATGTTATGCATCACATTTACCTCTTCGGGCAATTTTTGCAATAGTTCAATTCCACCAACCGTTATTGTACAATAACAACTAAATATGACTTGACATCAAGATAAGAATCCACAAAAAGACAATATGCAGGTTCGAACTTACGAACGAATAACGAGATCCAACTATACTGAAAATGCTAAGTTAAGACCTTTTTATCAAGCTTTTCTACATTTTCGTCATGTCCTTTAATTGGTTTGGAGAGGAAAATTCAGTGCATTTGCATCTAAGTCCCCTTCCCTCTCATGATATTGTATACGTATATCACTGATTGGTAGAATTAAATCAATAAGGTATTACTGACAAAACTAAGTGAGGCCCTGAAAATTTGAATTCCCTGTGTTATGTGACATTAAATATATGCATTTTTATATCTGAAAAAACTGTTTTGGAACGTTTTCATTTTCAGAGGTGAAAAGTTCTCTCTCTGTTCATGCTACCTACCATTCCACTATGCCTATTTAAGTACGCAACACCCTGTATACATCATAAACAATAAGAATTTCAGATATATGGAGAGAGTTTATAGACGTTGTCCAGATCGTAACGTAAAATACATCAAAAAATAATGTAATTAATTTTCGGTTTGCATTATATTGAAGCCTTTGAGCATGGCCGATGACATAACGAAATATACATTATAAATACTAAAGTTAGGTCGATTGGACTCGGAAATCGGTAAAAATTAAGAAGAAACTACCATAGTTAAAGCACCCCATGTACATATCTGATTCAAGTCGACAGTGAGACGGCAAGTAGTAAATATTGGAATTCTGTATTATCGGTAACCAAATAAGTTCGTGCGGTTTTTACTAGAAAAATATGAATTTCTATTGTGAAACAATAAGACACTATTTATTCGTCGAAGTAATTACCGTCACATTTAATGACAGAAAAACAAAAACTTTCATACGATTTGGGCTACAGTGTATACCTAATAAAATATTAACACGGGAAATTATCTTTTCTCGGAGTCATTCTGCCCAGCAGGCTGAGCAGCCACTGCTCTCAACACCGGCCTGTAGGATCAGTTGTCAGGACCCAGCCTTAATCTGGCCCTACTGTAGGCCCAGTATCAGTGCAGGATCCCTTGTTCTAAACAAAATGTAAACGAACTAAAATTTTACATCATAGACGCAACTTCGCTAAGTATTAAGCACATGCGGTCCAACTATAACTTTCTGAAACTTTTAATGAGCTTCATTATCTTGAGTACCGGCCGAAAACTTCTGAACTTGCAGCAATTTATGGGGTCATCCCAAAAAATTAAACTTTTCAGGACCTCTATAAACCCCATGTTAACATGTTCGTGTTTTTCGTTTTACTTTAGAATAGAATATTTCTCGGATTTCGACGAGAGATTCGTTAGCTCCAGAAACTTTAGTAACTTGTTCTGGTTTTGCGTGCTGCATTGATATTTGTAACTCGTACTGATACAGTAGGTTGTAGCGATGAATCGGTAAACGAATAAAAGCTATCATTTAATTTTATGCTTTTGCTAAGGACATGGTTATGATACCTTGCTGAAGGTGGCATTTCAATGGAGCATTTTTCAGTTTAATTTCCTGACGGATGGCATTGTGATTTTTTGGCAAACGTCGAAATTCTGCAGTCTAGATCCACTGCGTCTCCTTTTGGTCTACCGAGTTGATGTCCGTGTTTCCAGATAAGGTAGGGCTATCAAATATTTTGCAGTTTTTCCCCGTTTCTCCAGACTGCCCTCATAGGAAGTTTATTGTACTTAACCTCACTTTTTATGGTTGTGCTCCGAATGGTCAGTGCAAGCAGTTCTGCTGCCATCTTTAGGCAATGTCCCAAAATAAATTCGCCGTTGTCATATCAAAATTTGTAAGGAACCCCTTACTCAATTACGACAAAATCACGCTAAAATTCAAGATGAAAACTTTTCTGAAAGGAATAAGAACCCTTGCATTGGATAATATGAATACATGTTGACTGAATGAGTACTGATTTTGCGATCAATATTTTAAGATGGGCAAATAGCAAATATACGGTTTCCTTATCCTTTCACTTGCTCACTTTTGAGGGAGGCAGGCACTGTGACTGCGACATTTTAGGATTCCCAATAACAAAACTTTTACGTTTTTCAATGTCCGCAACACGAGGCAACACGGTAAAAAGGAGAAACTCAATAGTCATATAAAATGCGTCACCCTATCATTACTATTAACTACCTATCGCGCATCTAGGTTGATATCAACGGCGACAAAAAGGCAAAAGGCTGCAGTCAGCAATGTCGCAGTAATATTCAGTGGTCGTTTTCACATGAAGCCATTAGCGTTACAAACGGCGAGACTTCGTAAAAACAACGGAGCTGCTACACATATAAACATATCCAATTTTAGCTTAATTTTGCGCTGCAGATAGAGTCCATATCCACCGGAGCGTGTTGGCATTTCCGGGTAAAGTAAATACAGCAGTTTCTGAGAATATATCCGCTCCGCCAGCGGCACATACTTGAACGTGCTCCGCTCAGAAACAGACTTTACATTAGACAGGACGTTTTTCTTCTTTGGGAAAATTCCGTTAACTTCACTCGTGTCAGAAAAATTTGTTTTAACGCAAATACACGCACCTTCAATTCGTTCGAAATGAAGGGTGCTTGCGAAATTTTCGATAAAAATTCAGTAGGTACTTCCACTGTCATTTGACAATTTAATAAGAACTGTTTCATATAAAAGAAGCGATGTGAACAAGATTTTCAAAAATATATTAGCAAAAAAGTAAGCGACATCTACTGTACGTACAGCTAGAGTCGTCGCCATATAGCGGTCACGTGGTGATTGGCCTATCAATAGCGGACTGCCGTCTATACAACCGGTGGATGTTATTCGCTAATTTTTCAAGTGCTTATTTTGCCTCACAAAATATTGTTTTTCAAATGTGTACAGTCGGCCTGTTGGAATATATTCTTGGAAGCAGAATATGAGCCCTAGTTAATACCGAAATAGGTTCGGTTCCTTCAATACCCCATAAGTTGAAAAGTTGTATATTCAGATTTAGTTATATATATATATATATATATATCGTCAGTCGTCCCTACAATTGTAGGCGTTTATGGCCTTCTTGATTGTCATACTGCTTTCTCTCCTTCAAAAATTTCTAGATTACACTTGTCCCGTGTCAGCGTCAGCGCTCTCCTATTGTGAAGATATGTTTTCTTTTTAAATTGTAGGAAATTTCATGCTGTTAAAACATGATATAACTCAAAAGCAAGCACAATTTGATGCAAATAGATGTTTGTGGCATAACCTCAAAATAGAGTTCTGACACGGAGAAGTAGAAAACTATGACAATCAAGGCCATAAAGGCGCCCTACAATTGTAGGGGCGACAGACGATACGGGCATAAGGACCAATTTCACCAAAATTAATATTTCACGGTCAGTTGGACCAATAGGAAAAGGCCTTATCGAAATACAATTTGACGGAAGCTGTCAAAGCTCTCAGAATATTAGTGATTTCTATTGAAATGTTGAATAAAGTCGTGAGAAAACGGTTGCCTTATTAATAAGTGTACATTATAGATGTTATATTATGTCTTTGTGCTTTCGAATTAGGATAACTTTCATAGAATTTAAAATTTTTATCATTTTAAAAAAAGACGGTCAGTTATTGAAGTGGACCAATGGGAATGCGGCAACTAATAGGTCGATCTTCTAGCTATTATATTTGGTAGGATGTTTTCACTGTTTTTGACGACTGTTCATGCATGGAAATCTAGTTTTGTCTGTAGATCACGAACAGGGTGTTGTAAGTAATACGTACCTGTAGAAATGTACGGATTTTTGTTATTTTGCAAAAAAAAGATGATATAAAACGTATTCCAACTGGTTCATCATCCTTTGTTACATCAAAAACAATGTTTGCCAATTTATGATCTAGAAATCCACACCAAATGTAAGCGAACAGTACATTCTGCATTTCTTGGTCCTAAAACATCGATATTTGTGAAAGTATCCGCATCCACCTATTATTCATCGTCTAGATATTAGAAGTCAGAATCAAAAATATCTATTTATGAAGATATATCTTCAAACATTGTTATATGTTCTTATTATTTCTATTATTGTAACACGTCTGGGATATCAATTGCTTTTAAAGTGATTTGCATATCTGAAGTGTTGCCGAACCAGAAAAAAAAAACGAAATCGGTAAATAGTGCCGTACCAAGATCAGTGGTAGATGAAGGACCTTTGAGTTACTGTATTAGGCGCGCAGACGACATATTTTTGGAGGGCATAGTTCTATATTACAGCTTCTACAATGTGCATACTGGTCGCTCTTTGAAGGTACTTTGCAACCATTCTGGAAACTTTTTTTTCGATTCTTGCTTATAGGATTGTGAATATTATTCTGTTTTACCCCTGAACTCATGAACTCACGTCTCATTTGAATTGAATATTTATTTTGAAAACATACAGGTTTCGGTATCTTTATTGCTTGTCCGGTGATGAGGTAATGACGGTAATCTACCAGTATGTACCTTTTGCTTGCACAAAAATCAAATATGGGCAAGCGGAGTAAGGGATGAGGATGTGCGTTCGTAATCATAGGCAACCCAAATTTACGCCTCTCATGTGCCCGACTGCCTGTGTGTGTATGCATATGTATGATTGATATCGGGCATAAAACTATGAAGACTACATAACATAAATTATATTTTAGCTTTATTTTTGGTTTTAGCTCTTTTTCGGCAAGTACAGAAATATTTATATTCTTTTGAAAAATCGTGGAGAATGATGTTATCGGTTGATATTCTCTTGTCGGTAGAAATACCGAAAAATCCGGTTCAAGTCCATAGATAGACAATCTGAAATTTGCAATATGAATTTATATTCTAAATTCTATGCATATCCGTTCATATTCGTCTATATTTCATTTGAAGCTTTTATTTATCATAAGATTTTAGCAAAATGTAAGATAGTAATGGCAACTCCGCACCCTGCAGCCTAGTTGACAAGAACGACAAGCTGTCAAGATTAGGGATGTTTAGATCCACGAAAAGTATCGTTATGTATCGATTCTTATCATTTTAGGAAGTATCGATACTCTAACATATTGGAATAAAATTATCGATATCCACCGGAAGGAAACAAAGAACAAAAATAATCTGAAGCTAGTCACTCTTTCTGACACAGTCCGGATCGAAAGAAGACAGTACTCGTGAAATGTATCGATACTGTCGAAATGTATATCCCGAGGTACCGACGGAGCTATTTTGCGGCGTCATGGAAATTATTTTAAATTTACATTTGCATTTTTTCAAGTGCTGTGCAATGATTTTGGGAAAAATTTCATGTATACGAGTAGTGTTATAAAGCATAGTAGAGTATAGAGTTGGCGGAGCTTACTCCACTGGGACCAAGGGTTGACGTTGATGGATCCCACACATGTGTCACTGGTTGGGGAGTTTTGAAATGTAATAATCAGCTGTTATTCAAATAATGTCTAATATAAATATAACCTAGAATGTGTACTCAGTGAAACAAGAAAGTTATTGCAAATTCTATTTCTTTTGCAGGTTTTAAGTTTGCCGGTAGCTTTACGACATGTATTTGAGTATTTCTTAATCGCTGTAAATATAGTGTGGATGTTTGTTCAGTTCCTGAACAACAAAAAATTATTTGACTATGGATGTATGGATATAAAAAATCGTGAATGGCTTTGTGGAAATATCAATCGATGGTGCTATAGTAACGGCAAGTAAATGAATGAATGTTTGGAGACGAGCAATATCTATGAAATTTTTGGTATAGCCTGTAGGTGCTTAATGTCTATCTGCAAGAGGTTTATAGGAAAAGAACACACGGTAGGTGTCAGGAAGAACACAATGTAAACATGAATAAACAATCGACAGTATTAAATAAAAGCATGAATTTTATTCAAAAGTCGAACACTTTTTTAAATTTTGAGCAAATTATATGTAATTTCTTAATATTCAATAAGCTGATGATGTTTCAATGAAAAGCTGTGATCTCGTACTTTAACAATATTTTATTTCCATCATTTCATAGTATTGGTTGCTAAAATTTTTTGTTTGGAACTTGAAGCTCATTCACTGTATTTGACGGACTGTTTACCCTATAGGTGGAGAATAACGGACTGTTGATTTGACAATCCTGGTGAAATCCACCCTTGTATTATAAATTGAGGTCGAAACGCCTCGCTGAATACCTCCGTCGATAATCTAACACCTGGTATGCAGCGGCGGCTAGTGACCGCCTTCAAAGATGCCAAATCTGAACCGCTAGATCACTCGCATAGATGTCTTTTATGTAAGTCTCAGACTTCCCCTTTTATAAACAGACATAAACTGTTCCCGAGTATTGAGTGCAGTTATTTCCAGGGCTGCTTTGCATAAGGGCTTTGCGGCTTCTCAACCGGAGTTGGGATCGTTCGCTTTAACCCCTACTGCCCCTTGGGGCATTATCGGATGAACGCGTATCGATGTGTGTTTCAAAGTTGAGGATCCCCATTCCGGCACTTTACGAGAACTTTCAGGGTAAATAGGGCAGTCGATTTTCCCCAGCGTACACGTCGGGGAGTCTATTGTTTCCTGAGCTATTTATTCTTCTTCTTAGCTGTGACAGTTTTAGACGATGTTCAGCAGATCGTTCCTTTTGGCAGTTTCATAGATGCATGTGGAGATTTATGGTATAAGCAATGTAAACAAAAGTATATTAGGGTTCATAAACATATAACATTTAGCCTTTCGTACGTTCATTGTTGATCGGTAAAGAGGCCCATGTTCGCATTTTTTGCAACAAGTTTATTCATAATCGTCTGAACAGCTAGTTGTGAAACGTTGAAGATGCTGGATTGGTATGACCTACAACATCCAAGCATAACTACTGACTGAAATAGTACGTGACAATATTATTTTTAGTTTTAGTTTTTGTCAACTATACAACTATTCTGTTACGTGATTCTACTTTATTGCAAACAAACTATTTCTTATGTATTGTATAGACGAAGTGAAGAATATATAACCAACACATTACTGTCATCTTGTTTACTTACATATCGGCCATTGTGAATTTCATACACAGGTATATGATAAACTTCTACACTGTGATATAGGGCTATTGAATTACTTGCGCAGCGAATTTTATTGTGATTATCGTGCAAATTAGTTACCCAATTTCTACGGGCTACGTATTTGATTCATATTTTGACAATGATCAAAAGTATGTCTAGATTTTTAAGATGGAAAACTGAACTTATCTGCGTTAAATCTTCCACAAATCCTATATTTAGACACAAATACACTAATGTTTATCACTTTATATCTGTAATTTCGAACTGAAACATAATTATCTAATATTAAATAGAGAAAATAAAGGTTTGCCCAATATGGCGGGTTATTGGAATATTTTGGTCTTGCCTGCAGGTGATATACAACAATTTGACAAATGTCTGAAATGAAATACCGACAGAGTCGAATGATTTACCTGGAACTTGTACCAGATCTATATCTTCTGTTTGAACAGTTGATAACACCTTTTGAACCAATATGCATGCGTTGTTTGTCTTAAAACATTGATTATGGCATCTTAGCATTTTACAAAAATATGCCAGCAGAAAGTTAGGTTATGGTGTGAAGTTGTTTACCATCATATTTAGCATATGCACAGCCTTTAACAGTTAATAAACAACAGTTGTATAAGTGCTTCCGTTGGGAGAAATTTGTTGGCTAAAGTAGAAAATTGCACAGCAAAACAAAAAGGCTCGGGTTTGTTTTATAAAGGTTACCATGGATGCCACAACACAATCATTTCGACTAACGTGCAAATATGCCGTATAAAATAGTTGTATAAACGTTCATGCAACAGTTAAAAATTGCCCTATAAGGTGTTGTATAACTATGCTACAAGAATATTTTAAACACTTCATTTTAGAGCAAATATGTTGCAGAAAGCTAATCTGCATTCCACACAACACATTTTTGTGTTCAGGCAACAACAATAGAGAGCTTTTATGGCTGAACGGTTCTTTTATCAAAAGCTTATACCACTACTTTGCTAGTTGGGTGAAAGTCATGTAACTTTGCAATTTCATTTTCCTTTGTTCAGTCATAATAATACTATTTACTTAGTTCGCAAATTATCAGGATTTTGAACTCAATTTTCTCATAATTCGATATTCACACATTACTGCCTTTTACCTAAGTACGGCAGTATAATCGTTTTATCTGGTGATTTGATGTTTAATAGGAGACTTAATATTCCAGCTACCCCAATGGCTCCAGCAAAAGCTAGTGCATGGAAAAATCGGCCCGCTCCTATTTGTTTCCATTTGCAAGCTCATTTGTTCGCGCGAGTCAACTTGAAAGTATTCAGAGTTCGGGTGATCCATTTTAATCAACAAACAATTTGCCTCCGGTGTCAATGATAAACCAATAAATTTGCATTATCAGGTTAAATGCATATTGGCGAAGCAGCAGACTGCGCCATTTTCAGCAGTGCTTGTGCATTAAACAGCGCGATACCGTAACTTGCTGGATCGCGCTCTGCGTGATGTTGAAGCTAAATCATCGTTACCATGTTAAGAAGATTGATCATTCGCAGCGTGTTGACCTACCTGTGCACAAGAAAGTTTTATGACCCTCAGTATTTTTTAATTTGGATTGAGATTTTTGCAAAGACTAACAGTTCCTAGTTCAGTCTCCAGAAAGCCTTGAAATAAGCGGGATTCAGAAGAGACTAATCCAGCTTTTCTCAACCTTTCTTCTTTCAAAGATGATACGGGGGTCCCCCCCCCAGCAGCAAATTCATAACCTGTTTGGATTCAGAACTAAGTATAAAAGGAGCGACGGCGACCATCATCGGTAGCGTGCGAGACCGACTAGTAATTCACATAGCTTGATAGTTCGTAGCAGTCTATCTATGCCCAGGGAAGGCTAATTTCGTATATACAGTATTTAAATATTTATCTGAGCCAAAGAGTAAAGAAGCATATAATAATAAGCATGTCATATGAATCGAATACCCCAGCACTATTGACAATGGACAGAACACAAGCCACGGGAGTCCTCACCATCCACTACCGAAGATAGCAGTCCATATCTCTTTTTCGTTCATGATCCAATGTTGGAAGGAGAATATGTTTCCAACATTTATCAATATCACTGATTTTATACACATGCAGATTCCTCCATAGATGGACGCTTTTGATGATGGTCACAGCTCATAGCGAGCGAACATGGAATGTACTATATATTTGTATTCTAGGCACTATCTGCCTAGCAACTTGACATTTTTGGGTAACAACCCTGCCGCAGATCCACAGGAATGAGTGACGTTTTTCCTTGATGTACATATAGGATGTTACTTAATGGTATGCGAATATATAACACATGAAAAATTAATGTTAGTTTTCTTCATAAACTATGGTCTAAAAATGTTTCCTTAAAAAAACTCGCGGTGTTGAAGTTTTAGGAAAAAAATGGATATTAATTAATATTTTCAGAATCGGTTCAGATATTTCATTGATACTTCAAATTCAAATTCAAATTCAAATTGAAATTCAAATTCAAATTCAAATTCAACTTCAACTTCAACTTCAACTTCAACTTCAACTTCTCAACTTCAACTTCAACTCAACTTCAACTTCAACTTCAACTTCAACTTCAACTTCAACTTCAACTTCAACTTCAACTTCAACTTCAACTTCAACTTCAACTTCAACTTCAACTTCAACTTCAACTTCAACTTCAACTTCAACTTCAACTTCAACTTCAACTTCAACTTCAACTTCAACTTCAACTTCAAGAGCACCAGCACGAGAACGAGCACGAGCACGAGCACGAGCACGAGTACAAGCGCGAGTACGAGCACGAGCACGAGCGCGAGTACGAGCACGAGCACGAGCGCGAGTACGAGCACGAGCACGAGTCCGAGCACGAGGACGAGTGCGAGTACGAGCACGAGCACGAGGGCAAGCACGAGCACGAGCACGAGTACGAGTACGAGCACGAGCACGAGCACGAGCACGAGTCCGAGCACGAGCACGAGCAGGAGTCCGAGCACGAGCAGGAGTCCGAGCACGAGCACGAGGACAAGCACGAGGAGGAGCACGAGTACGAGCACGAGCACGAGCTCGAGTACGAGCACGAGCTCGAGTACGAGCACGAACACGAGCACGAGCACCAAGAACGAGCACAAGAACGAGCACGAGTACGAGCGGAAGCGCGAGTACGAGCACGAGTCCGAGCACGAGGACGAGCACGAGCACGAGAGCGAGGGCGAGCACGAGCACGAGTACGAGCACGAGCACGAGCACGAGCGCGAGCGCGAGTAACGAGCACGAGCACCAGCACGAGTCCGAGCACGAGCACGAGTACGAGCACGAGCACGAGTCCGAGCACGAGCACGAGTCCGGGCACGAGCACGAGTCCGAGCACGAGTACGAGCACGAGCACGAGTCCGAGCACGAGGACGAGTCCGAGCACGAGTCCGAGCACGAGCACGAGTACGAGCACGAGCACGAGTACGAGCACGAGCACGAGTACGAGCACGAGCACGAGCACGAGCACGAGCACGAGCACGAGCACGAGCACGAGCACGAGAGCGAGGGCGAGCACGAGTACGAGTACGAGTCCGAGCACGAGCACGAGCACGAGCACGAGCACGAGTACGAGCACGAGCACGAGGACGAGCACGAGCACGAGGACGAGCACGAGCACGAGGACGAGGACGAGGACGAGCACGAGGACGAGCACGAGCACGAGGACGAGCACGAGCACGAGTGCGAGCACGAGTGCGAGCACGAGCACGAGCACGAGCACGAGAGCAAGGGCGAGCACGAGCACGAGTACGAGCATGAGCACGAGGACGAGCATGAGCACGAGGACGAGCACGAGAGCAAGGGCGAGCACGAGTACGAGTACGAGCACGAGTCCGAGCACGAGCACGAGCACGAGCACGAGCACGAGCACGAGCACGAGTCCGAGCACGAGCACGAACACAAGCACGAGCACGAGGACGAGTACGAGCACGAGCACGAGCACGAGCACGAGTCCGAGCACGAGCACGAGCACGAGCACGATCACGAGGACGAGCACGAGGAGGAGCACGAGTACGAGCACGAGCACGAGTACGAGCACGAACACGAGCACGAGTACGAGCGGGAGCGCGAGTACGAGCACGAGTACGAGCGCGAGTACGAGCACGAGTACGAGCACGAGCACGAGCACGAGAGCGAGTGCGAGCACGAGCACGAGAGCGAGGACGAGCACGAGCACGAGCACGAGCACGGGTACGAGCACGAGTACGAGCACGAGCACGAGCACGAGCACGAGTCCGAGCACGAGCACGAGCACGAGTACCAGTACGAGCACGAGCACGAGTCCGAGCATGAGCACGAGCACGATCACGAGGATGAGCACGAGTACGAGCGCGAGTACGACCACGAGCACGAGCACGAGAGCGAGTGCGAGCACGAGCACGAGCACGAGAGCGAGGACGAGCACGAGCACGAGCACGAGCGCGAGTACGAGCACGAGCACGAGCGCGAGTACGAGCACGAGCACGAGCACGAGTACGATCACGAGCACGAGTCCGAGCACGAGCACGAGCACGAGAACGAGAGCGAGTGCGAGTACGAGTACGAGCACGAGCACGAGTACGCGCACGAGCACGAGTACGAGTACGAGCACGAGCACGAGCGGGAGTACGAGCACGAGCACGCGCACGAGCACGAGCACGAGTACGAGCGCGAGTACGAGCACGAGCACGAGCACGAGCACGAGGACGAGGACGAGCACGAGGACGAGCACGAGGACGAGCACGAGCACGAGGACGAGCACGAGCACGAGGACGAGCACGAGGACGAGTACGAGCACGAGCACGAGTACGCGCACGAGCACGAGCACGAGTCCGAGCACGAGTCCGAGCACAAGCACGAGCACGAGGACGAGCACGAGCACGAGGGCGAGCACGCGCACGAGCACAAGTACGAGCGCGAGTACGAGCACGAGCATGAGATCGAGGACGAGCACGAGCACGAGGACGAGCACGAGTACGAGCCCGAGTACGAGCACGAGCACGAGAACGAGCGCGAGTACGAGCACGAGCACGAGCACGAGTCCGAGCACGAGCACGAGCACGAGTCCGAGCACGAGCACGAGCACGAGTACGAGCACGAGCACGAGCACGAGCACGAGCACGAGCACGAGAGCGAGTGCGAGCACGAGCACGAGCACGAGAGCGAGGACGAGCACGAGCACGAGCACGGGTACGAGCACGAGCACGAGTACGAGCACGAACACGAGTCCGAGCACGAGCACGAGCACGAGTACCAGTACGAGCACGAGCACGAGTCCGAGCACGAGCACGAGCACGATCACGAGGATGAGCACGAGTACGAGCGCGAGCACGAGCACGAGTCCGAGCACGAGCACGAGCACGAGAACGAGAGCGAGTGCGAGTACGAGTACGAGCACGAGCACGAGTACGCTCACGAGCACGAGTACGAGTACGAGCACGAGCACAAGCACGAGCACGAGCACAAGTACGAGCACGAGCAAGAGTACGAGTAAGCGCACCAGTACGAGTACGAGCACGAGCACGAGACGAGCACGAGCACGAGTAAGAGTACGAGCACGAGGACGAGCACGAGCACGAGGACGAGTACGAGCACGAGTACGATCACGAGCACGAGCACGAATCCGAGCACGAGTGCGAGTACGAGTACGAGCACGAGCACGAGCACGAGCACGAGCACTAACACGAGCACGAGTACGAGCACGAGTACGAGTACGAGCACGAGCACGAGTACGAGCACGAGAACGAGAGCGAGTGCGAGTACGAGCACGAGCACAAGTACGAGGACGAGTACGAGCACCAGTACGAGTACGAGTACGAGCACGAGCACGAGTACGAGCACGAGCACGAGCACGGGCACGGGCACGAGCACGAGCACGAGAGGGAGTGCGAGTACGAGCACGAGCAACGAGCACGAGTCCGAGCACGAGCACGAGCACGAGCACGAGTACGAGTACGAGTACGAGCACGAGCACGAGCACGCGCACGAGCACGCGCACGAGCGCGAGCACGAGGACGAGCACGAGGACGAGGACGAGCACGAGGACGAGCACGAGGACGAGCACGAGGACGAGCACGAGTACGAGCGCGAGTACGAGCACGAGCACGAGTACGAGCACGAGCACGAGAGCGAGTGCGAGCACGAGCACGAGCACGAAAGCGACGACGAGCACGAGCACGAGCACGAGCGGGAGTACGAGCACGAGCACGAGTACGAGTACGATCACGAGCACGAGCACGAGCACGAGCACGAGTACGAGTAAGAGCACCAGTACGAGTACGAGTACGAGCACGAGCACGAGCACGCGCACGAGCACGAGCACGAGTACGAGCGCGAGTACGAGCACGAGCACGAGAACGAGTGCGAGCAAGAGTACGAGGACGAGTGCGAGCACGAGCACGAGGACGAGGACGAGCACGAGGACGAGCACGAGTACGAGCGCGAGTACGAGCACGAGCACGAGTACGAGCACGAGCACGAGTCCGAGCATGAGTGCGAGCACGAGCACGAGTCCGAGCACAAGCACGAGCACGAGAGCGAGTGCGAGCACGAGCACAAGCACGAGGACGAGCACGAGGACGAGCACGAGCACGAGGGCGAGCACGAGCACGAGTACGAGCGCGAGTACGAGCACGAGCACGAGCATGAGATCGAGGACGAGCACGAGCACGAGGACGAGCACGAGTACGAGCGCGAGTACGAGCACGAGAACGAGTACGAGCGCGAGTACGAGCACGAGCACGAGCACGAGGACGAGGACGAGCACGAGCACGAGGACGAGCACGCGCACGAGCACGAGTACGAGCACGAGCACGAGCACGAGCACGAGAGCGAGTGCGAGCACGAGCACGAGCACGAGAGCGAGGACGAGCACGAGAGCGAGGGCGAGCACGAGCACGAGCACGGGTACGAGCACGAGCACGAGTATGAGCACGAGCACGAGTCCGAGCACGAGCACGAGTACCAGTACGAGCACGAGTACCAGTACGAACACGAGCACGAGCACGAGCACGAGTCCGAGCACGAGGACGAGCACGAGTCCGAGCACGATTCCGAGCACGAGCACGAGCACGATCACGAGCACGAGCACTATCACGAGGATGAGCACGAGTACGAGCGCGAGTACGACCACGAGCACGAGCACGAGAGCGAGTGCGAGCACGAGAGCGAGGACGAGCACGAGCACGAGCACGAGCGCGAGTACGAGCACGAGCACGAGCACGAGGACGAGGGCGAGCACGAGGACGAGCACGAGTCCGACCGCGAGTACGAGCAAGAGCACGAGCACGAGCACGAGCGCGAGTACGAGCACGAGCACGAGCACGAGCACGAGTACGATCACGAGCACGAGCACGAGCACGAGAACGAGAGCGAGTGCGAGTACGAGCACGAGCACGAGTGCGAGTACGAGCACGAGCACGAGTACGAGTACGAGCACAAGCACGAGCACAAGCACGAGCACGAGCACGAGTACGAGCACGAGCACGAGTACGAGTAAGAGCACCAGTACGAGTACGAGCACGAGCACGAGACGAGCACGAGCACGAGTAAGAGTACGAGCACGAGGACGAGCACGAGCACGAGCACGAGGAAGAGTACGAGCACGAGTACGATCACGAGCACGAGCACGAATCCGAGCACGAGCACGAGCACGAGAACGAGAGCGAGTGCGAGTACGAGTACGAGTACGAGCACGAGCACG